GTCCTGGGCGCCTGGGTGGCTCAGTCGGTTAAGCGACTGCCTTCAGCTCAGGTCATGATCCTGGAGTCCCGGGATCAAGTCCCGCATCGGGCTCCCTGCTCAGCAGGGAGTCTGCTCCTCCCCCTGACCCTACTCCCTCTTGTGCTCTCTCTCTCTCTCAAATAAATAAATAAAATCTTAAAATAAAAAAGTCAAATAGGCAGATGATTTTATTTGCATCCACTCGATAAGCCAAAACAGTGGCTTTAACGACTTGTATTTTAGATTCAAAATCTCCATAGAGAACAGTGAGCAATAGGATAATGCCCTTCCTGAGATGCCAAAGAGGACCCGGGCAGCGTGGTCCTCAGGCAAACTCTTCCAGCATCTCTTGGGCTGCATCCCTCTCTACCCAGGCTTCCCATTTGTGTGTGACTGCCACCTGCATTCTGTAAGATGAGGGAGTGTGGAGTCCTGGGTTGTGGTTACTTAAGGCCAGAGACACTGTGGTTCTGATTTGGGTCTGCGAAGTCAGACTGCAAGTGTGTTCCCTTTGGGTCCTCTTCCATAGTCTTGAATGACAGAGAAATGACAGGACAGACTGGGAGGAAGGTGGGTTGCTTCGGTGGGTGAGACGGTTCTGAGGTAACAGAAGAAAGAGAGAATCAGAGTCCCAGAGTGGAAGGAATGCTGACTGGGAGGAAGGGACAAATACCAGCACAGAATTTAAGTCTCATTACCCCATCACCCTGCTCAGACTCTGGTGCCTCATCATTCCCCTTAGAATAATCCCAAACTTCCTGGCACAAACTCAACACCTTATCATGAGTTTGTAATCGATCTCCCCCTTGCCTTTGTTGCCCTGTCTTCTGCACACCATTTTAAAAACATGGCTGAATATCAGGATCATTCAGAGCTTTAAGAAAGTACCCATTTCTGGGTGTAATAATGGTACTTTTATTTAGAAATCCCTTATATAAATATATAAATACTCAAATCTATGAAGAAAGGATATGAAGTCTGAGATTTACTTTAAAATACTCTCACAAAAATACTGTGGAGAGATAGAGGCTAAGAATGCACAGAATGTGAATCATTACTGAAGCTGGAGAGGGTGATATGAATATTCATTACACGATTCTGTCCACTTCTGTATATGTTTGACATTTTCCAAAATAAAAAATGTTTTAATGTATGATGAGAAAAGTAATAATATAAAAGCACAGATTTCCAGATCCATGCCAGGGCTTCGGTTCAGAGGACAGGCCCTCAGTAGAACGATGCCCACTGTTGTGCACTGCACAACTCCAAGGTGTGCCTCATAGCCTTCCAGGATTTCTGTCATCATTATAAAGCTTCTCCAGAAGATGGCAGTAACTTCTCTAGAGAAAGAGGCTCTTCGTAATTCATACAAAGCCATCGCTAGGCTGGAGGCAAGGTCAGTCCCCTAAATCTGAACCTGAAAACTTTAAGTCTCTTTGGACAATATGATGAGCAAACAGGTTGGGGCCCAACTGAACTCCATGGAATGGCCCACCTCAGTACTCACACTCAGCCGCTCTGCTGGGCTGGGCTGCACAGAGAGGCTTCTCAGCACTGCTACAGCTATCCTGGCCTGCCCTGACAGGCCACGGCCCACCCCCGCCCGTCCTCACATGAGCAAGAAAGCCCACGAGAGACGATTGAGAAAATACAGAGATGCAGAGATTAAAACTCAGCCACAAAGTCACGGCCCAGAAATAATCAAAGCTAACATTTGTTATAGAACCTTTCAGTTTTCTCTTTCGTGTGTGTTTTTCAAACCTTTCACCCTTCCCCCACTAAACAGTTTAATTTTACTGTACTAGCTTTAAAAGGGAATCCCTTTAAAGTAAAAATTCAGATCTGTAAACTCTTGTGACCTGGTCCTATCCCCTCCTCTTCTACAACTTCCCCAATTCCTTACCCGTTGTATTCCACTCCCCCTGGCTTCCCTGCTCTTCTTACAAGGTATATACCAGGCAGGCTTCAGGGCCTTTGCATCTGCTGCTCCCTCTGCTTCGAAAGCTCCCCCTCCATGTGGCTAATTCCCTCTTTCCCTTTCTGCTTAAATGTCACCTTGTTAGGAAAGCCTTCCCTGGCTAACCCATTCTACTTTAGAACAAGCTCTCCCCAATCTCTTCCTCTCCTGTGTTTTCCTCTAGATGAATCCTTAGACATATATAACATTTTTCTTTCTCTATCTTTCCTTAATTATGTGTAACCCATGAAAGCCAGATTTTTTTTGTTTTTGTTTTTGTTTTGTTTCTTTGTTTCCAAGGAAACATCCCTAATGTTTCATCCCTAACGGTGGGACAGTCTGGCTAAGAATAGATGCTCAACAAAGATTTGTGAGATGAATGCCTATCTCCAAAATCTAAGTGTCTTAATTAATTAACTCCAAAGAACAAGTTAACTTATTCACTGATCTAGGAGGCATTTTGCTGCAAACTTATTCAGGAAGCCATGCTGCTCAGAACCAAATAATCCAAGGGAGCACCCTAGAAACAGTCCCCTGACCTCATAAAAGACTGATAGTTCTTCCTTTATAAATATTCTAAGCCGATTTTTTCCCCATGCTCTATGGCATGGCTTATAGCTCCTCTAACTTTTTTTCTCAGTAAAGCACTTCCAAAACCGCTTTCTGAGAATACAGACTTTGCGGTGGGGACCACAAGAGGGTGGAGTGCCCTTCCATCCAGTGAGCACTTAGGTGGACGTCCTGGTTTTCATAAGAAGCCGTCAGTCCTAGCTCTTGTTCCTATGCTTTCTTAACTCGGGGATTAGCTCTCAGCCAGTAACACGCAGAACCTCAGCTCCCATGTCCGCATCAGCAGAACCTTCAACGAGCTACTTGCAGAAAGATTCGCAGAAGGCATTCAACACTCCTTTCACGTTTGAATTCTATCTTTGGACCAAGTGGCATCAGCAGAAGTCTCATACACAGACCAACCTGGAAAGCCCCTCAGCACACAGACCCACAATATTATGTTTTAATGTTCTGCCTTTAGATTTCCCCTGAAGATTCTTATAAAAATCATTTGAAAGTAAAACTGTAGGAACTGAGAAATTTATTTAAGAATTCAGTCAAAAGGAAAGTATTATTTCCTTTAAAGAATGGCTATGTTTCCTCCTTTGGGATAAAAATTACATTACAGTTGTGTTTCCACTTTTTGTCCTCCCTGTCAGGAAACCTAGAGCACAATTTTAATCACAACCACAATGCTAACCTTTAGTTGTGTTCTCCTTCCCTGCTGTCCCCAGCCCCCAGTTTCTGATTTTCTATTTTTCATTTATCATTTCACTACAAAGGTTTCCCATAAGCAACCTCAAAGCCACTATGGAAAAATACAGGGTATAAATAAACAAATACCACCACTAGAACATCAATGAACAAATTCAACCTGTTTCTAATCAATGGCTTATAGGTTTTCTACAACAGGAGGCATTTAGGAGGTATGTTAGGAAGAATATTAGAATGTATCACCAAGTACAATAATGAATCTCTCCTGGAAATCTAAAAGAAAAGATTTGTGTCTACCTTCCTGAGGTGGTCTGAGGGCTGGATGGAGAGAGAAAAGATAAAAATGACTCTAAAGGTTCTGTATAACTTGATTCCATGGTAGTCTGACATAATAGTGGACAACCAGGTATTGAACACTACCAGCTACTCTAATATAAAGAAGATGATTTAAAGATACACAATGAGACCTCACACTCAGCTGGGATTTGCTACCGTTGATCACACCGATGAGACAGACTTCAAAGCTTCATTGGCCAGACCTCAGGGAGGCCTGTGTCCATCTGGCTTCCTAACAATGCCTGACCACGGGAGAACGCCAATCGCTACCAAAGGTTTCCCTACATAAATAGTCATGATTTTCACTACCTAGCTTCTAATCTCCAAAGGTACTTTACCTGATATATATAATCACCCCGCCAGAATTCCTCCTCTGAAGTTTTCTTATTTAAACATCTTTAAGGCAATTCGAATATAATTCATGATACTTCTATTTAATAATTTCATCCTGCTTTCATATTTATCCTCTTGTTTGTCTTCATAATACTTATCCTATGCAACCCTCCGAAAGATGCTTTGCTGACCCTAGAAGCAGAGAGACCACGAGGCTGCAAACCTCGGTACCTTCTGCCGGCTCACCAGCCTGCCACCGGCCTGCCAGGTTACGCGGCCAATACGGGGCTTCTCTCCCCACATTTTAGCTCCGAAGAACACAGAAAGGAATGACATATTTGCCTTTACCCTTTCCTATGTGTCTCCTGGTGTTTTCTATTGTTGAGTTTCTGTTTACATTAGAAAGAAGTCCAAGACAGAATCGATTCCTGTTATTTGAAGGGTCTGTGAATCCATCGATAAGCACGCTGCGGGAGGAGGCCTGGAACGTCTCCCCAACTCGGTTGTTGAGTTCATAGTAGGCGACTGAGCACCAGTGTTGCGGCTCCTCATAGCAAACTGGCCGAAAGTCTGAAAGAAAAACAACCAGAGAGCACATCACTCCCATTATGCCCGGCTTCCCATCTCATGATCCCACCTGGACACTTACATTCATGCTGTTAACCAGAAGAGGTGGCTGCGAGACGAGGATGTTCTTCGTGATCTTTCCAAACCTGTCACTTGATGGAAGATCTGTGTGGTGAGCTCATCTGGTCACCACACGTGAGGCACAGAGGCCCCAATCCCTGTGACTCTCCCACGGTTAGAGCATTTGTACTCATATGCATTAATATTGGGAGGCTCTGACAAACAACGCTACGAACAGATCAGTGTAAATCCCATCACCCCGAGAGGAGACAGCTCCAAGGAAGGGGGCAGGGGTGCTCTCTACATGTGAAAGAGAAGGTATTACTGTCACTGGACCAAACGGAGTCCCGGTGACAAGAACATTATTTTCTAACAAACTAAGGATGAAAAATAATAGTTTGGATATGATGACCAAATCAAAAACACTGGACAGGACTTTAAATTATTTAAGAAAGAAAAAAAAAACTTCCACATAGAGTCACATTCTCCACTGTATACATATGGAGTACTTATATGTCATAAAATATTTTAAAGACAGCTGTATGTTTCATTAGGAAATCCATGAACATTATGTTTTCACCTCAAATTTTTCAAAGCTAAGTAAGTTGCCAGTAACTAACCAAAGTTCAGAGTTCTTTCTTTGCCACCCACATTCTTTCTCTGTCTTTTGACTGATTATATTAGCTCTCTTTTCTTTGAATATTCTAGTAATTTTTGTATCTACAGTGTGTTCCTATGTGCACTAAAACACAAATTTATGAAAGATAAATTTAGGGGTTATTATTTGATTTACCAAAGGACCTTTACTTATAAAAGACTTCACCCTGGCAGACTTGAAATCGTAAGCTCCGTTAGACCCTCTCTACTCAGTGTGGTTCCTGAACGGCTCTGCCTCACCTGGGAGCTTGTGAGGAATGCAGATTCTTGGATCCCACCCCAGATCTAAGGACTCAAAATCTACATTTGCCTAAGATCACCCTGTGGTTTCTATGAACATTAAGACTGAGCAACATTTATTTACCTAGCCTATTTTAAGAAACAGATACAATTCTGTAAAAACCCTATCTACATATTTATGTATATTTCTAAGAGCACCCCTCTAAGCTAAATCAAAGACACCACTACAAAACTATAGTATAAACACAATTGGGACAAAATTGCTAACTTAAATACCCATTTCTGTACTAAACATCAAGAACTACAAACGTCTAAATGTTAGGTTAGAATAAAAAATTAACTTCTTCTAGTAACCAGGATGATAAACAAACATTCACTCTATGGTGCTGAGGAATGCCAAAGTTAAAATGCAAAGCCAAGCTATCTGCCCCTTCAAAGACATGTGAAATAGCAGGCTAGCACATTTTTTTTTTAATTTGTTTTGTTTTGGGGTAATAGGAAATGCTCTTGGAAAACAGCTACATTGAGCTGTTCGTCTACAAATTTACCTCCATTAGGCACTGACAGCACTAAATGACTATCAGCTGTGGCATCTACGGGTCGGCCATTCTGGGTCCCTGGGGCTCCTGTGGCATGATAAGGCGGGGGTGGTGTGTCAACTAAAAGAAAGCAGTAAAACAGAAGCATGTCAAACTGATACACTACACAAAGACAGTCAGATCCAACCCTTCTTGCTGTGAAACTCCTGGGCTTGGTGCATAGTGTTATTGCTCGAGAGAGGCCAGTCATGTCATAAGGCTATTCCGCAGTGACATTGTGAGTGTCACACAGAAGCAATCGATTGTCCTGACATCCTCACTAAACGGTTGATTAGTTTTCCCTCTGACTTAGAAGTTATCTAAGAGTTTTAAGTTCCAATGACTGCATGATAAGATTTTCAAATCGAGGAGCTATTCTCCTAGCTTTCTCAGTAGAGCAGGGTCTGTTGTCTGGCTTTCAAAACAGAAAGCTAAACCTTCTTTGAGCTTAGTTTTTTTAATTCCTCTATTGTCATGGATTGTACAATGGCCACAGGGATGCACTGTCTCTGAGATTGTTCCAAATACACCCCCAAAATGCACAACAGCTGAAACCTGATTATAACCTTGTGCCCAAAGCATGCGGAGAAGGGCTCCCCTCCCCAAATATCAGTTCCTGTAATTGGACAGTGATCATGGTTAGGCAAATGCTGTGCATTTAGTAGATAGTTTTGTATCAGAAAGTAATTCACAACACAATAAAAACTCCTGCAGCAGAGGGAAAACTCTTTAGTGAGAACCTCAGAATAACTGAGCCCTCCTGTATACATTCCTAATGTCAGTTCAGAATCGACTTGTTACGTTAGCGGTGGGTGGAATTCAGTGGCATGAAAAGTTGAATCAGTCTGCTTTTGTTGAATTGAATTTTGTCCATCCAAGTAGTTCCCACACTTAAGTGTGCATAAAAATCACCCGCGAAACTTGTTAAAGATGCAGATTCCTGGTCCCACGCTCAGAAATTCTGAGTCTGGAGATCAATTGTTGGATGTAGCCATGTGCATTTACCAGGCACTGCTGGCAATTCTAAAGCACACCACATTGTGCAACCATGGATAGGCATTTCCTTGTGAGAAAATAAACTATGAGCCTGGTGGAAAAGGTAACAGAGCAAGGTGGCTCTTCTGCAGGTCCCTGAGTAAGTCTATCTATAAAACTCAGGGTTTGAACACAGAGTTACCATATCACCATATCTGCTCCTAGGCACATGCCCAAAGGAGCTGAAAGCAGGGACTCAAGCAGATGCTTGCATGCCAGTGTTTATAGCAGCATTATCCACACTAGCGAAAAGGTGGAAATAACCCCAATCTCCATCAATCAACGAATGGATTTTTTTTAAATGTGGTATATCTATATAATGGAATATTGTTCAATCACAAAAATGAAGTAAATAACACAGGCTAACAACATAGTTGAACTATGAAAACACTATGCTAACTGAAATAAGCCAGACACAAAAAGACATATATTGTATGATTCCACTTTGAGGTACCTAGAATAAGCAAATTCATCGAGACAATAAGTGGACTGGAGGTTGCCAGGGGCTAGAGGAGGGGGGTGGGGGAGAATTGGGAGCCACTGCTAATGGGTACAGAGTTTCTGTTTAGGTGGATGAAAAAATTTTGCAAATAGATGGTGGGGATGGTTGCACAGAACTGTGGATGTCCTTAATGCCACTGGATTGTACACTTAAAATGGTTAAAATGGCAAATTTTATGTGATATATATCTTACCACAACTTTAAAAATTAATATATGAAAACCACCACATTGCACACTTTAAGTGTGTGGGCTTATATGAATTATATCTCAATAAAGCTGGTAAAAAAAATTAAGGGGCTGAACCAGTTAATTTCAGAATCTCCTTTTAGTCTCACTTATCCAAGGGTCTGTTATTCAGGTTGCATTTTGCGGCTAATCGTTCAGAAAAGAATTATTTTCTTTGAAATTAAAAGAGCCATTCCCTCCATGAAAACTAACCAGCTTCTGCATAGGTGTTGGGGTCCATCCTTCATGGTTGGGAAGAGGGAACAATATCAACCTGTTAGTTTCACCAGTGCAGGAAGACAAGGTCAGTACGGGTGATCTTTATAGCACAGGTATGTTTCAAGTAAATACGTATTCTGTGACATGATTATCCTCCTGTCCCTTAACCATGGCTCTGTCTTCAAATGACTTCTCTTCCTGTTGTGTTCCTTTCTCGGTGAATCCGGCCCCTTGTAAGACAGCAACCATCTCCCCCCTCCTCTGTGTGGATGACTCCTGAGCTTCCTCCCAGAGTCTCAGCCTTCACCCCGCATCAAGTTCTGTTGAGTCTACCTCCTCAAATTCATTGTCTTCTTTCCATCCCCACATCCCTTCCTTAGTTTAAGTCCTTATCATTACCTGCCCGGACTGCGACAGCCTTGTTGCTTACTTACATGATTGTTCTCAAGAGTTATTACCTCTTGAAGGTCAGAGACTATTGTCAGAATCAATCATCATTGTACCTCTTGCAGTAGCACAGTGCCTGGCACTTAGCAGGTGCTCAGTCAGTCATTACTTACTGACTCAGTAACATCAGTAGCTATAACCCTGAGCTCTAGCCCAGTTCCAAATGCCTGTGTGGTGATTCACTTACTCAGCAATCAACTGATGAGCAACTACTGTGTTTTAGGGTCTGTGCTACACATATGAAAGAGAAGATGACTGGCAGTTGAATGGGGGAGATATACAATGAGGAATTATCTAATGTAGTGTGATAAATGCAATAGCAGATGTGTATGAAAATAGTAGGTGTATCACTGAGGGGGCAAAAGGAAGAACTGACTAAGAAAGGAAGGGGCAACTCCTTTTTTATCTTCCCACATTTTATAAGTTCTGTGAGGACAGGGACAATTTTTACCAATCTTTTAATCCTCCTTTCAGCTCCTTAAGGCAATGCTTGTATATAATAAATATTCCATAAATATCTGTTAAAGTAATATATGAACACATGAATGAGGCACCTTGTAACATCTAGCACCAAATGAGTTTATGCATGCCTCTGAGAATTTGTCACTCAGGATATGATTTATCTCACACTCCTGAGGTGTATATAACTCTCTTCTTCATGATCTAACTTAGACCCACTTTACAGGCGTGGCAGCACGTGGAACTGTGACAATGTGCTTGATTCTCCCTTTGGCACAGGATTTCCCTTCCAAAGGCTTTTTCAGCTCAGCAAGCGTTTACTGAAGAGCTCCATCTTCAGGATGCACTGGCTAGGTGAGGCCTGACTCTGCCCCAGGGAAGTTATGCATACTTCTTTTGGAGGCAGGGACTTCCTGTGGTTATTCAAAGAGACAGCCAGAAGAAAGGCCAAGCAAGGACCCCTCACATTGCTTGCCCTCAGGCCAAGTCTTCTTACTTGGGTTAGAGAAGTATGTTATAATCTTATTTCTGCTACCTTAAAAAAAAAAAAAGAAAAATCCCTGGAAATTCCCAGAGATGCTGTTCAAATCCATTTAGCTTCTTCCAGAGGATGAGAACCAGAAACCAGAGCAAAGATATGCTGTAGCTCCAGAATAACTGCTTCCAAATGGCCCTGATCTTAGAGAAGGGCAGGGTCTGAAGGCCCACAAGACATGGCCATGTAAACGGCAAAGCTCCATATGAATCTAAGAGTGATTGTAATTATGATGGTCCCACCATAATTGATCGTGTTGGCTCATACTCCATGTGCACGGACAGTGGCTTTTACTGACCTGAGTGTTGATAGGGGCTCTCTGGCTCCGAGGGGCTTCCTGGGGAGTGAGGGTAGCCAGCGGTGCATGGGGACTGTGAGAACACGTGCCCGGGCCCGGGCGAGGGAGGGAAGGCAGAGCACGGAGGCTGCTGGAAAGAGTCCGGATAGGTGGCGTTGTGCGGCATGAGAGGCTCACTGTGGAGCGAGGCGCTGCGGAACTTGGCCAGAAGGCTGAGCTGGGGGTTATATTCACTGTGCCTTGGCACGAGGACAGGCGGCAGCACTAGGAGGAGAAAGGACCCAGTGGATTAGAATTGAGCATTGGCCCATCGGCACAAAATCTAGGGGACGCTTGCTCTTTGTGTCTGTCCATTTGTTCGTGATCAAACTCTGTTTTCTGGGAACTGCTCATCCACTATTCTTTGTGCTTACTGTAAAACTGCCAATTAAGGTCCCATCATTTCCCAGAAAGTGAGCTGGTGAAGCAAGCTAAACACCAATGTTTAGCTCTTAAACACTCTTCTTGCAAACTGAATATTAAACAGAGTATCACAGTAAAAAGTTTAGAGGAGAATCATTCTGATGTCAGCACTCTAAATGGACTGCCTATTCATTCCTACCACAGAAATTACCAGAGCTGCCCTATTATCTGGCCTTCTGCAGGCCTAATTGTTTGTGTCTTCCTTTGATTCTGCCAATAAAGTGGTTTGTTCTTTTTTTAAGGCAAAATTGGTTTCTAAGTGATGCCCAGAATATTTTTCTTTCAGAGACATGTTGAATTATTCAGACGGCCAGCCTAAATTTCAGGCTCAGTAGTGCTGCTGAAGTAAAAAAAAAAAAAAAATCATCTACTTGTCTTTACCAGAAAGATCTAAATGTACCTAAAAATTAAGTAAAGTATAAACAGAGAGTAGTAAAAGTGAGTAAGTAAAAGATAAGGATCAATAAGAAAACTTGTAAATAAAGCCCTATGTATGTTTCTTCTGGGTTCCATACTTTAAAAAAAAAAAAAAGTGTTTTTGATCCTGAATCTATACAAAAAGTTAGGAATGGATGCAATTCTCAAGGGCAAGTATTATCCAGGCATGCCTAGTTCCTATTGACTTCTAAAGTGTCACAGTGCCTGGCAGAAAGAAGATAATCAATAAATTTTGTGGTGCAACCTGTGACCAACGTAAGTTCCAGAAAGAGAAGCACAGAAAACAGGGAGGAAGTGGTCAAAGGCAATTGCAAAGCTCTTCTAAGGGAAAATAATTCTTACCCCCAGCTCCTATGATGGAAACAAATACAATAGCCAAAAATTAACATAAACCATAAACTGAAATATAGATATCAGAGATTTAAAAAGAGGAAGAAAGAAGTTAATATAAGTTAGCTAAATCTTTTATATTAGTGAAATTATCTCAAGGTGAAAAGTTTAGAAACAGATATATAAGCATATTATGTAGGATTACCTCCATAATTTCTAGTAATTAATGTATAAACATATTGTCTAGGTGTATAAATATGTTAACTAGAGTTATCTCCATAATTTTTAGTGATAATGGAGGGAACATGTAAAAGAACTAGCCAAGAATGATTAAAAGAGGTTGTTTCTGGAGATGCATGGGCTAGCTCTTGTTTTTAACAACACTACTGATTTGTTACCACATGCAAGTATTGATAAAAACTTTCATAAAAAATAAATGTTTTGGAATAAACAGATGACAACGACAGCAACAAAATCACAATAACATCAGTCACAAAGCCTACCACTTCCCTGCCAACATACATTTACCTCTTTCTTAATAAGCAACAGTTTTCCGTTCTACAGGTAGAAAATAAACTCAAACAGGTAAATGACAAGTTTTAAAAACTAAATGACCACAGCTGAGGGTGGCAGAGAAGCAAATGATTTCTTCCCTCTTTAAAAGCCAGTATGTGCATCTACGTGTGTAATATATGACATTACAGAATACTCAACATCATCATCCAAAAATGAGCTGGATGATAAGCCATTACATTTCCTTTTATGTGTTCCATGAATATGCAGGAATAAAAAGACGACCTGCTTCATGAATAGTCTGAAAAGGAGGGCCCGACAGAGTAAATGGTATATGGCTTCTTCTGCAATGACACTTCATCACAACGCTAACAAGGTTCAAACAAACACTCATTTTTCTTTTTTGGATGAAGAAGAATTGGAATAATCTCTGTGACTTCAGTTGTAGTGTAAAATATCTATAGTGTATTCCTAATATTGTTAAACATAATGCCTCACACCCTCTGAATGCAGAGACTTCTATTTCTTCATGGGCCGGAGATCTGAGACATTAAAAGAAAAAAAAAAGGGGGGTTAGTTTTCTTTGTTTGAAACAAATGTCTTCAAAATGTATTTTTACCATCCACATAAAACCAAAGGCAGTGATTTCTGTAAAGAAAACTGATGGTATCATCCTGGTTATTCGTCTTGACTGGCTAGTTTACCTTAGATTTGCCCTGATCATATTTTTAAATACTTCTACTCCAAACATAGCTGTCTTAGTCCATCTGGGCTGTTATAATAGAAATACCATAGAGTGGGTGGCTTATAAACAATAGAAATGTATTTCTCACAGTTCCAGAGCCCAGACTTCTGGGGAAAGCTCTCTTTCAGGCGGCAGACTGTGATCTTTTGTGCCCTCACATGGTGGAAAGGGATGAGGGATCTCTCTGGGGCCTCTTTAAGAAAGGCACTAACCCCATTTGTAAGCGTCTGTCCTCATGACTGAATCCCCTCCTAAAGCCCCCCACTTCCTAGTACCATCACCTTAAGCATTTTTGGTTTTCAACATATGAATTTGGGGGGGAGGGCATAAACGTTCAATCCATAGCAATAGCTATTCTAGTTACTAAATTCTATTTCTAGATCATAACTGCTGCTTACAAATATGACATAGTGAGATTACAGACATTGGTTTCAATTTTATGCCACCTTTTAAATACAACACTATCTTAACAACTAAGCATTACACGGGGGAGAACAGTGGCAGGAGTTACTCCGCATATGGGGTGCAAAGCAGAGCTAAAAAAGCTTTTGTTATCTCTTTCAAAAGTCATGTGGTTTTTATATACGGGTATTTTATGTAAAGAAGAAATTATACTCGTGAAATAAGCTCCAGTTACATAGAGTAAAATCATCACACACTGCAAAAACACTTTTTGCATAGAAGCTAGAAGACCCAAGCCATGCAAAGTGAGATTTGGGGACTGGTAACACTTTACCAGATGCTAGGTACCAGTCAAGGAAGATACAGTATTGAAATTGAGAGTGAACGTTTAGAAACTTTAATAGCAATTTGACAGAGTAATTTTATATCTGTTAAAATGCAGATATAAAATATACTGTTATAGTAAAAACAAAACAAACCTAGACTTGCATTTGTAAGTCTTCTTAAAATTTCATTTCCCTAGTAATTCGTTTGTATTACAAAAGTACTGATATTTAAAGGATTGAAAATTTAAAAATTAAAACTTGTCCTTCACTACAGATAGTTAGAAAAGAACTTAAATAAATGATATAAATGGTTGTATAAGTAAAAAGAAAATCAGAGTGCAGCCTTCAGTGTTCCTAAAATGGGGGGTGGGGGTGTCAAAATATTTGGATTTCAATGCAAAACTTAATTAAGCTTTATGATAACTAGGAACCCAGTAAACTCACTTAATATTAGCATCCTCACTGTTCTCAAAATATTTAATTTAAATATGCCCAGAAAGTTAAATATAAATTTGCTTTTTCTAATAAAAAAAATCAAAGTTAGGAATAAAAAAATCCTGGAAGGCTTAACTATTACCTTAAAATTAATACAATCTCCACCCATCTTTCATTTGGAAACTCAAACCTAAAATATAATGATATGAAATCTATCTGCCATATGTAAAAATTTCACATTATCATTTCTAAAAGAACCTTACATAAACTAAAATTCCAAATAAGCCTTTAAAATTAGGTGTTCTAGGGGTGCCTGGGTGGCACAGTTGGTTAAGCGTCTGACTCTTGCTTTCAGCTCAGGTCATGAGATCAAGCCCCACGTTGGGCTCTGCACTCAGCTTGGAATCTGCTTGGGATTCTCTCTCCCTCTGCCCCTCCCCACTCGTTCTCATGTTCTCTCTCAAATAAAGAAATCTTAAAAAAAATTTTAAGATAAAATTAGATTTTCTAGTATTCAAAAAGAAAACCAGACTTTTAACAAGATACTTCTCGCAATGTACCTTTTACAACTACGTTCCTCAGGAAGAGAGAAATGATTTTTTTTTTAAAGATTTTTATTTATTTATTTGTCAGAGAGAGAGAGAGCACAAGCAGGGGGAGCGGCAGGCAGAGGAAGAAGCAGGCTCCCCTCTGAGCAAGGAGCCTGATGTAGAACTGGATCCCAGGACACCAGGATCATGACCTGAGCCGAAGACAGACACTTAACCGACTGAGCCACCCAGGCGCACCAGAAATGATTTCTTAATGAACATTTTTTTCACTGGGTATATTCTGAATGCTTAATATCAAATCTTTGAAACAAAAAAGGTATCAAGTCACTGTCATAAACTTGGACCTGAATGACTTTTTTTAGTATGCCGAGAGCCCAGAGAGAAGCTGAAAGAAAGGAAGAAGGCTAAGACCCATATGATCTAGTGAAAACTCATCAGATTCACCAGGACTTTCTCAACAGTCTCATACTGGGACTCAATCCCGGGATGAAGTGACTGTGAGAAGCATCCACACCCAGGCAGTTTTACAACAGGACGGCAAGATCTGGGAGCCTGAAAGGTCGCCTCGCTAAGACCACTGGCGGCCGGACATGACTTCTCCATTATTGCTGTAAGGTTAACTGAACCTTGGAGCCAGGCGGCAGGCTGGACTCCCACCATGGCCTGCCTACCTAGACAGAACCATCTTTCAGTAGACATGGGCCATTTCCCAGAGCTCGTGTGCCACCCCTCTGGTCTCCTGGAACAAGGCAAATGGCCAATCAGGGAGAGGAAGCTCCTATTAAAACTGAATCCCTGTAGCCACAGGAACACTCAATCCAAAGAGAAATGGAGTCAAACTCTTACAGCCAGTGTGAAGGACAAAGGTAAACACCAGACTTCAAAAAGCGGGGGAAATATGTGCCCACGTACACACATATGGGTGTGTGAAGAGTTTCAGAACGATACCTTCTTACTTTTAAAGCCACATTTAAGAACGATTGCCAATCCCTCCTAGCCCCTGGTGCTTCCATTCCTAGGAGGATTTCCAGCAGTTCTTGCACTGGCTGTTTGCAGACCCAGGGAGAAATACTTCCACGTACCTGAGCTTGCGGAAAGTGGCAGCGAAAACCCTTCTTTAGCTTAGTCCGGTTTCATTGAGGGAGAGAGGATGGGAAGGAGGATGTTTATTTTTTACAGTTAATCATATTAAGACCTTCAAAGACCCCAAGGACTAGAAAAAACATGACGATGATAACTCCGAAACACATCCAAACTTCATTTTTCAAAATCACACAAAACTTACATGTATACTGAAAGTATCTTTTTAGATTTTTCTGACTACAAAAGTTTGGATTACGTCCTCAAAACTGAACCTTCCTCTCTTCCTTTTCTTTTGGTGGTGGGGGGGCGGTCTTTGTCTTGCTGATGCCCCATCACTCCTCATCAACTGGGACACAGTTCCTCAACTTTTAAAATAAACCGTGATATCAGGAAGAAAACTCACCTGGAGTCTCCACCCGGCGGTAGTGATAGGGGTTAATGCACACCTCTTTCTGCTTGGAACCAAATGGGAACTCACAGCACTCCAGTGGCTTCAACTCGTGGTGAGACTGGAGGTCAGGCCAGCGCCACACTCGGCAATAAATGACATGGGGCAAACCCTTGCGGTGGGACACCTGCAGCCGCCCGTCCAGGGACCGGGGAATTGTCACACATTTGCTGGGCTGCCCTGGACAGCTGAGGGCCCTCTCCAGCTCATCCATGGCTCCTTTCTTCTTCTTTAATTTCTTCACTAACGAGTCTACCGCCTTCTCTGCCCACTTTTCCTCTTCATCTCCTTGCTTCCAGCCTAGCAGTCTCTTCACTGCTGGGCTAGTGAAGGAGAAGAGGGAGCTGATGGGGGTGCTGGAGTGCATAAGAGGTGAACTGCAGGTGTCCAGGGCAAACAGGAACTGGACAGACAGCCCGTTATTGCCTGCAGGGCCTGAGGGAAGATCGCAGTAAGTAACACTCCGGGGATGTCATAGGTAAGAACTCTCCAGGGATGTCATAGGTCTTTCTTTTCTTCTGGAAGTAACTGACCAATTACATTTGGGAACTGGGTTGATTTTCTCTTAGGCTCTAGAAGGGGCTGGCCAACTCTGAAAAAAAAAAAGAAAAAAAAAAAGCAAGACAAAACCCTAATTAGCTTTATTCGGATAATTTTCAGAAAAAATTAAAGGTTGGATATAAGGGAGAAAATACTCTTCAAATGTTTTAGACTTAAAAACTCTTAGTCATCTTTGGCTCTTCCCTCTCTACATCCCCTTGGTAATTCTGCTTTCAAAATGTCTTTCAGATTTTGAAATTTCCTCTCCATTTCCACCAATATGTGAGGCCTAGCCCACCTCACCATGCTCCTGGATTACTGCAACAACCTCTGAAGTAGCTCCTCTCTTCCAATTCTAATCCATTTACTCCCCAATACAATTTTTACCAAGTTATTTTCCTATTTAAGAAATTACAGTGGCTCCTTCATTTCCCAAGTATAAACCTCTCTGCCTGGATTTTGAGGGTCTCTATAATCTTTCCTCAACATGCTCAGGCTTCTTCCTTTCTCAATTAGAGTTTGTACAAGTAATCCATCTTTACTGTTGGCAAAATATATAAATGGAATAGAAAAAAATTAGGACACTAATAATCTCACCACTTATATATATTCTTCCAAACTACTTTATAGGACAGTGGTTTTCAAAGGACCAGGGAGTTCCCTTCAGGGGCTCCAAGGTCCTATCTTTTCTTCAATTTAAAAAAATTTATCACAACAGATGATATGCAAAAACATATGAGAATCCAAGTGTCATCTCTTAACCAGGCATTAAAGAGATTTGCAGAGATATAAAACTGTAACAGTCTTTTCAATAATTCTTTTTAAATATTCTTTAAATAAAAATGTTTTGTTAATATATAATGGGTTTATCATTCCCTTTAATGAATCAATAAATATTTTTAAGTTTCTCAGTCTTAATTCCCAAAATGGTAAAGATTGATAGATATAAGCTGCATAAACAAAGGTTTTTTGGAGTTCTCAATAATTCTTAAGAGTAGAAAGGTGTCAAAAGACCAAAAAGTTTGAGAACTGTATTTTTTAGAAGTTACATACAGTCATGGTACATAAATGTGTACACAAAAAAGTACTGCTGTCACATTTGTTATTCTGCCTGAAAATCAGTTGAATGCTTCTTCGCCCTGTCATCCAAAGGAGACATTCTTTCCCAGTTATTCAGCAGTCCCATTTAAATTTCCTGAGGTAGAACCGTACTTCCTCTTCTGCGAAATAGTTGGCTGAAACAAAACCCTCTCTTTCCAGATTTTGGAAACCAGCTACCTTATTAATGTTTAAAGTGTCTGTTGGTAACATTTTAGAGCAAGCAAACTCATTTTAGTATTTTAGAATCAATCTAGCTCAAAATCTCTAACGACTGCTTGTTTAGTATGAAGTATCATTTTCTCTTCTGCTTCCCTGGACAGAAATTTGTACCTGAGTACAATTATATAAACTTCTCCCGGGGCACCTGGGTGGCTCAGTCAGTTGAGCATCTGCCTTCGGCTAGGGTCATGATCTCAGCGTCTTTGGGATGGAGCTTGTATCAGGCTCCCTCCTCAGCAGAGAGACTGCTTCTCCCTCTCCCTCTGCTGTTCCCCCTGCTTGTGCCCTCTCTCTCTCTCTCTCTCTCTCTGTTGTCAGATAAATAAATAAATAATCTTATATAAACTTCTCCCAACAAAGGTGCTACATAAACCTCTGCTGTTGTGATAGGTGCCAGGCACCCCCAGGGGAGGAGGATGTCAGCCAGGTTACACACAAATTGATGAGTTTAATAAATATAAAGCAACACCTGAGGCATTTATTCTTCATATAGACTTTATTTAGCATTGTATAGAGAGGTAAACTCTGACGCAAAGGAGACTTGAGAGCTGGGTTTTCTCACTTGGCAGTTTGACTTATACTCAGTTTTATTTGGAAAGGTTGATTTTGTGGCTTAACGATCATGAATTTATAAAAAATAGTTAAGTCACTGTGTTCAAGTTCTGTTTATTTAATCAAGACAGGCTGCCTTAAAGCAATGGTTGAAGAGGATTAGGAGCTTGAAAGAGAAGTAACACGATGAAGAATAACCTGAACCCCCAAAGAGCTTCGAATTCTGCTTAGTTTTACATGGGACTTCTATGTATAAATTGTGAAATAAAGCTTTAAGTTTAGGTCAGGTATAGATAAAAGCTTTTTATAAAATGTTCAGCAACATTAAACCAAATACACCCTTTAAAAAATGTTTGCTCCATTGACAAATAACGGTTTTCTAAACCAGGGTTCACTGTTGTTTTAAACCATGGGTTCCTCTCTATTAATGACACGTGAAATCAGTTCGATCAAACAAAATAGCTTTTGTACAACAAAACAGACTATATTGCAGTGCAGCTTACAAAGAAAGGGTATTATTTCATTAACACCTTCATTCACAGGTATGTGCTCTGTGAGTGCGTATGGACGTACACGCGCATATGCTGAGGGTCACTGTGCAATTTGCAATGCACAATGCAATGCAATTTGCTACTGTGGGTTACAATCAAGAAAGCCTGAAAAACACTACCCTTAAACCAGAGATCCTCAAACCATGTCTGTTTGAGGTTCACCTTGATGAGTGACTTTCTGGGCCACCATCTTGCCTCATCCCTTGGGGAAACACACAAGACTGGTCAAGAATGTAAGGTCTGTGAAACCCTGGCTCTGCAGTCTGATCTCACTGCCACATTTGGAATCTTTATAATAGTCTCAAGTGGCTCCAAAACTATGCTTTTATTGCTACAAGACCCAGTGCCTGCTGCATTACACAGAGGCCCTGGCATGGAGGGAGACCCCAATGAGTCAAATTCAGAATCTCAGAGTATTTAACACCAAATGTGCAATAAAAGCCTCTGGGTAGGGAAGAAAGAGGATAGAAAATATCACAAAGTTAAGGTTTAGTAAAGCTGATGGCTGGCTATGCAGATGTTCAAATAATATTCTCTACACTTGCTCCTATGTTTGATATATTTTTTTAATAGAAAAAGTAAATTCAAAGAGTGAATCAGACCCGGATTCTCACTAACACTAAGGTTTCAGTTCCTATTTGTCCAGGCTGCCACTTAAGGCTCATTAAGCTACTCCATTCTCACTCATATAAAGTTTTTGCCACTAGTAGAACAAAGGGCCCCTTGTTTATTTCTAGCTGGCCACCACACTGACATCAACAGTGTAGCCAACCTCCCCCCACCCCGTGCCCCATGCAAGCTTGTTTATTAGTGTCAACCTGGCTCAGAACAGCTTTCCACTGTCAGATAATTTCAATGCCCATAGACTATCTGCTCAAACTTACCATGACTTCCCGAAAACACCACTGCCCAGGCTCACCCTAATAAGCAAAATAGAGCGCTCCCAGGGAGGTTATTAAAACACAGTTCCACAAATAGGAGGGGGTTCGTTAATGTTGCTGGTAATTATTCTATTTCTATAATGTACAAAGAAGAATGAAGCAAAACAGACTATAAAGATGAATGTATGTGAAGGATTTATAAAGAAAAACCTGACCAGATAATTTCTGCAAAATCTAACAAGAGCTATGGAAGAGAGATGCTAAAGGTGGTTACACGAGGAAGAGTCCTTGGCCCAAGCCTGGGGGTTCTAGAAGGATTTTGGAGATGATAACTGAGTTGCACTTAGAAGGATTTAGGTCACAGTTAAAAAATAAACTAACTCGGCAGATTAGGATAATTTTCTACTAATTCTTTTTGTGATTAAATTCTCACTTTCCTAAGAAAACTGTCTATCCCTTGCCACAAACCAACTCTGTGGTCTCTCTGGCCCCCTCATTTCCTCATCTGCAGATCAAGGGGTGCTCACTCTCACTGTAAGGGTCTGTCTGGGCAAGAGTTCCATGGCTCCAAGGTTGTTTTTTTTTTTAATTTTTTTATTTTGTTTTGTTTTGTTTTGTTATGTTATATTATGTTATGTTATGTTAGTCACCATACAGTACTTCATTAGTTTTTGATGTAGTGGTCCATGATTCATTGTTTGCATATAATACCCAGGGCTCCATGCAATATGTGCCCTCCTTAATACCCATCACCAGGCTAACCCATTCCCCCACCCTCCTCCCCTCTAAAACCCTTAGTTTGTTTCCCAGAGTCCATAGTCTCTCGTGGTTCGTCTCCCCCTCTGATTTCCCCCCTTCATTTTTCCCTTCCTTCTCCTAATGTCCTCCATTCTATTCCTTATGTTCCACCAATAAGTGAAACCATATGATAATTGACTTTCTCTGCTTGATTTATTTCACTTAGCATCATCTCCTCCAGTCCCATCCATGTTGATGCAAAAGTTGGGTGTTCATCCTTTCTGATGGCTGAGTAATAGTCCATTGTATATATGGGCCACATCTTCTTTATCCATTCATCTGTTGAAGGGCATCTCGGCTCTTTCCACAGTGTGGCTATTGCAGACATTGCTGCTATGAACACTGGGGTGCATATGGCCCTTCTCTTCACTACATCTGTGTCTTTGGGGTAAATACCCAGGAGTGCAATTGCTGACTCTATGGTTTTGGCTGTACCTGACACGTGGGACAGTGTGACTCATTTAGCTGCCTTTGATGCTACATTGCTACTCCCCTCCCCCACCCACCCCCAGAATAGTCCAGTCTGAGACTGAAACCTTCACTCATGAAGCTATATTCTATACAGCAGGGCAAAACAACAATTTTTTCCCCCCACAGTTGTCAAATTGACCCTTTTTATAGCAAATGTCACCTACCAACACCACATGAATTTCACTTTTCTTTCCATATTTTTGTTTCTTTCTAGCATTGTTTTTATTACCACAAAAGAATAAGAGTGAAAACGTATGCTTGGCATTACTGTGTTTGACATCACTTGCAGCACCTTCATCAAGGACTTCATCACCCCAGATCTCCACAAATGCCATCTGTTGGCCCACTAGAGCTTGCCTTCTGTGGACGGAAGGACAAAAGAACCATGCCTATCCCTCTTTCGGTTCACTTGTGGTCCACTTCATGCACAGCACGAAACAGGACTTTCTTTTTCGGGCATATGAGTTTTACAATAAACC